TTTTTTTTACAATTTTTTTGTGAAGCCGCAATTGGAATATGCGGCACTGTTGGGTGCTCACTGTGCCCTGCCTATGACCACGCAGCCGCCCCTGGAAGATCGCAAGGATCCGGTTTTGGGGCTCCTGTTCAATATTCCTGGTTGGGTGTTTTACGTGGGTTTGGGGGTACTTGTGAGGAGGGCCCAGGGCCTAGGGCGGGGCGTGTGATGGCAGTCCCCTAGAGGCCCGACACCAGACTCACACCTTTGTGCAAAGTGTATTCTTCCCCATAAACAAAACCTGGAGCTCTGGAGCCACCGTATTTTTTCTGTAAAGAATCCATATTGTTAGAGAAGGGCGCAAATCATATAAAAACCATAAAACACAGTGTGTTTTATGGTTTTTATATGATTTTGACTTTTCTCTAACTTTTGAACTCAAAAAACTACCAATCTGCCAAAACCATAAAAAAACCATAAAACACAGTGTGTTTTATGGTTTTTATATGATTTGCATCCTTCTCCAACAATATGGATTTAATATGGATTTTTTATGGCCTTTTTCAGGCCCTATGAGGTGAGCCGAAGCACGTGCCAGACATACCCAAGTGTGTTGCCTGGGGGCCTAGGGCGCCACAATTTTCCAAGTTCTGTGACAGGTCTGACAGCCCCCTACATGAGAGTTTCCAAGTTCCCCTATATGAGAGTTTCCAGCTTGACCACTGACAACACATTCTGCTTATTGCAGCCCTGGAGCGCCTATTTAATAGGCCTATTTAGTAAATTTAGTAGTCCTCAAGCTATAAAAAAACATAAAAAAACCATAAAAATATCATAAATCCAATTTTAGCCTTTTTCACAACCATAAAAAATCCATATCTCCAAGCCATAAAAAAACCATAAAAAAAGTATTTCTGGAAATGAGCCCTGTGCAGAGGTTATGAGCTCATAAAACTATTTGGTCAGAGGCCGTTGCTATTAGGTTGCAGGCCATCGCTATTAAGTTGGAGTCCATCGCTATTAGGTAATTATTTGGTCGGAGGCCATTGCTATTAGGTTGCAGGCCATCGCTATTAAGTTGGAGTCCATCGCTATTAGGTAATTATTTGGTCGGAGGCCATTGCTATTAGATTGCAGGCCATCGCGATTAAGTTGGAGTCCATCGCTATTAGGTAATTTTTGGTCGGAGGCCATTGCTATTAGGTTGCAGAATTTCTTCACACGATCTGGAACCCCGCACGGGGTGGGTTCCACCGGTTTCATGGGTCGTCAAGGAGTCCCTGGTCACCAACGGCCACATCCTGGAGGCTGGACGGGAGATACGAGGAGAACATCAATTGACATTGACGCAAGACCAAAATAGACACACGGTATTTATATAGAATTTTACATAAACAGACATGACAGTATGCATATTACATAAAAGATAACCAGACATAGCCACGCAAACGTGCGGGCCTGGTACACGTCGACAGAAGCTGGCTTTGTATATGTATTTTGGCATGCGGAGTTCCGAGGTCGTCAACCGTTGTACTCGGCATCAGAGAGCTCTCACACGGTGTGCATCACGTTGGACGGAGAGGACTAAGGACGCTCCCCCTGTGAGTCTTCCACGTGGCCTTTCTCCGAGCCAGATGCACTGGGAATACCGTGGCCCTTTTTCCTGACTTTAGTCAGGAATCAGGGAATCAGATGGAATGAGAGCAAATCCTGTAATTGTACATGTTCTTTGGCAAGGGGGGGCAGGGCGGTACAAATCAAAGATGTTTGGTTATAAGTTATATTCGTAGATCAAAGAGATTGCATTAAAGGTATCGTGCACCCGTGTAAGCAAAGACCAATACAGGACCAACACAATTGTTTATGAACGCAAGCAGCTTGGGGGCATGCCAACACCGCAAAGCAATTTTGTTGGTCAGCAAGTCGTACAAATCCAGTTTGTATCACACCAGCTTTGTCACAGCATCTGAAAAGACTTGGCCGTGGCCCGCCCTTGTCAGACAACATGTTACAACATCTCGGCAAACCTAGAAATACAGGACAAACCCTCATTCGGTCATTGCCGACAAACGTCATAAATGTTTGGCCAGCCTATGAATGTTAGCGAAACATGGGTATCCCTCGATAGCCATGTTTGATTGTGGATTTCTTGGTTTGCCTATTTTTTGTGCTGTCCTGGGCAGTTTCCTGTCAGACCAGTTTCCTTCGACTGTCCCTACTCTGTGTGTGTGTTTTCCTCTTCACTGTTTGCTTCTGCAGGACCTCTGGGACTGCGGAGCATGCGACTTTCGTCCCAAGCGCATGAGAGATCCGGGGGAAAGAGGTGCAACGAGGATTCCCTTGAGAAGCGCATCACGTGTTCGGTGCGATTTCTCACAGAGGTCCGTTTTTCGATACTGCATGAGTATGCGGGAACATCATTTGGCTGAGGAGTGGAATGTCTACTGCTGCGTGGCCTCCTTGGTTTGTCCCTTGCCAGGCAAATACATGTCTAGGCCTGGACTGATACGAATCAGGATCAGGAACTTGATCAGCGGGACACACCTGACCTGACAGCCGGGATCTGACTTGCGTGCAATCATGTGCAAGAGACACAGTGAACGGATCCTTCAAGATGCCTTTCTGCAGTGCGGAAACAGAAACTTCAATGGCCCAGTTTTGCCTAAAGACAGAGCAAACACGGAAGCTACTAGTAACAAAGGGCATCGCTACTAGGAGCAAGAAGCTACTAGGGGCGCTCCTGGCATTACTACTAGGACCAAGAAGCTACTAGGGTGGAGGCCACTTGGAATGCTGGAAGATCCTGGAAGTGCGGCTTCATGGACTTTACAATGCTTCGTGCCCCCTAAAACTGTTATTGATATGCATTGAGTGATATCCTGTGCTGTGCTTCTTGTGCAAAACGACAAGATAGACATATTAACATGAAATATGTTTTTGTCCAACCAACTTTCTTTGGGTTCTTCAATGCAGGTCAGTAGGTTGGAGGCCATCCCTTCTAGGTTGGAGGCCATCGCTCTTAGGTTAGAGGCCATGGTTGGAGGAGGCCATTGCTAGTAGGCTGGAGGCCATCGCTAGGTTGGCGTTGGAGGCCATTGCTAGTAATTATATAGGTTGGAGGCCATTGCTATTAGGTTGGAGGCCATTGCTTCTAGGTTGGAGGCCATCGCTCTAAGGTTGGAGGCCATTGCCAGTCATCGCTATTTGGTTGGAGGCCATTTCTATTAGATTCCACGCAGGTCACCTGGTTCTTCCTTTGGGTCCACCCGTCTGACGAAAGATCGTTGCGATGTGGGTCGAAAACCAGTCTGACTGGCTGAACCCCCACCGGCCTCGACTGGGACCAGTTCGGCGGAGATTTCTCATGTCGTCTTGTGACTGCTTGGCCGTCGTTTCATTTTGAGATTTGATAAAGGGTGTTAAACAAACAAATCATGTCACTTTCAATGTAATCAATAGACATGAAAAGGAGTCCTCGGAGTCCTAAAAGAAATCGGAATCAGAAGGAAGTTATAAGGACATCAAATAAGACTCAAAATAACGAGAATTACAGTAATTAATCAATTATGAACAGCGTAGACATTATTGCAGGAGATGTTTCAATTTAACACAAAGAAATCATTTTTGTAGGGGATGATATTGAATTATTCAAGATTTCGAGTATGCTGGGCTACCCTCTTTGTGTTTTTTCTTGTAGTATTTTTTGTATAAACAATTGTGTGTATTATCGCGTCTTTAACTTTTTTGTTTAAGCCCAAATGTGCAAACATCATTCTGGGACGGCTAGATCATCAAGATGGTACATTAAATTACATTATATAGTCAGACTTTCGAAGAAGCCAAGTTGCCAATGTTTTTTTTTTTTTAATTGCATCATTAATGAACACTTGCTGAGGTGTACCTGAACTGCGGCAAGTGCTCAACAGATGCGAGCTGCCACATGACACCGCTGTGGCACCAAATGCCCAGTGTGAGCCATGGGGTGCCTTGGCCACCGACCGGTGCGAGCGAAGTCTGGAAACAGGACATGAGATGGGAAGCGAATTTGGGGACCAAAGAAAACGTGATCCCAAAAGAAGGACTGAAGAAAGCAGGGTCACTCTTTCATTAGGACGGCACAAGGGCCAGAACTGCGAAGTTCAGGACACGGGGCGGGATCCGGGATCCGATGAGACATGCCTCAGGTGATATGATGAGATGTCTCTACAAGCAGGGCTTGTTCTTGCGCTGGGATGGCCAGAGTAACTCGGTGTCTCAGAATTCTACCCGCCACGGTGGGAGCCGTTCACAGGCCGTGCCAAGACCCTCCATCGAAAGTCCCCAACTGCTTTGTCTAAGACATTTCCACAGATTGTGCTGGAATTCGACCTTAAAGCATTTGGCGCTACTAGGGTGGAGGCCATCGCTACTAGGCCACCGCTACGTTAGGTTCGCTACTGGAACGTCTTGTGACCTTTCAGGTCGTTTCAGGTCGTGCCTGGACTATTGCGAAAGAGCACATTGGGAACACTGGTATACCCATGGATACCCCATATCTCCTGTGAAACCACTCGATACTGACACTCTTTGGATCTGTTGGCTTCAGACATCTTGCATGGCTAGGAGACTGCCGGACCTACAAGTAGCACCTGGCCATTTTGCAGACCAATTCCTGAGTCCGCCAAGAAGGATACGCCTCAAGCTGAACAAACCAAACCAAAAGATTCAGATTGAAGGCCATCGCTAGTAGGTTGGAGGCCATTGCTTCTAGGTTGTTGGCCATTCAGATTCCAACCGATTCGCTTTCGAAGGAATATGATAGTCCATCGGCAAGGCTTTCAGAGTCCATCTCGTGACTGCCACCAAAGCACTCTCGGTGAAGGCCTGCCCAAAGCATCCCAAGACCGGGGGGCTTCACATGGTCACAAATCATTCAGATTGAAGGCGTTGTTTCTCATGCCTTGAGTGGCAAATGCATTCGGATATTCAGATTTGAAGGGTTTAATACAAATTAAGAGTAATTAAGACTTTGCGTTGGCTTCTGACCGCAAAAAAAGAAAAACACCCTGACGGCGAGTTCTGATCCAATGCAGGCTGCCAGTCTGAGTGGATCAGCAAAACGAACGGCCAAAAGAGCGAGTTGGCCAGATCCCGCCGTTGAATCGAAACTTCCCTCAACTTGGAAGAATGTTGACTGAAACTATCTTAAATCCCAGTCCCCTTGATAGATAGGGGACTTTCTGAATGTCCCCTTAAGATCTGCATTCTTTCTCAGTCCCCTTGAGCATCGGACGTAAAGACGTACAGATCTCTGCGAATCTTGTCATATGACTTCTTCGTTCATCTTCTCCACGTGGTTTCGGAGCCGCCTTTGGGTTGGTACTTTTTCTCAGCGTTTTGAAGGCGATGTTCTGGAGAAGTAGGTCACGCCTGTCCTCCAGACTTGCAGGCTTGGAAAACGTATCCCATCGGCTTTGGGCTCAACGGGCTCAGGAGGAAAGCTCGGACGGGCGGTGTCATCATACCTTCCGGCTGCTGCGCTCCGCTCCGTGTGGAAGCATGGCTGTTGAAAGCTGCATGTGTTGCAGAGATCCTTCCGAAGGATTGTTATTTTTACTGACTGTTGCTACATTTATTGTATTTTATAGAGGCAACACTTGTCCTTCCCTCAAGTGATACTTTTAACCACTGCTGCATTTGTCTTGGCATTCTATCGAAACACCCTTGCCGCTTGCCAGTAATTTGTGGAGTTTTTGATAGGTTTTGTATGTTGCCACCCATTCTACAGAGACCATTTCTCCATAGAATGCCCGGCAAGTGACCCCAATGGTAAAGCATGGAGATGCGCGGAGGATTATTTTTAAAGCATACAACATCCACATTAGTTCATGTAGATCTTTGGGGATGCTCACCCAAAGTGTTCAAATAGCTCTTGTTGACCAGTGAGGCCATTTTCTCTCCTTGCATGGTGGAGGCCAAGGGCTCTCTTCGAAGCTTGCGGATGGCGGCCAGAACAATAGCATCCGCCGTCATGAGATGCCATTGATATACTTTGAATGTGATGTAGAATGTAGCTAAACTCCCGAAATCGAATTGTACAATCGTTTCATGGGCCTACCCCAGTAGCAGTACTACTGGAATGAAGACAAGGCCTCGTGAGCTGTTTGGCATCATCGAACTGGAGCAGACCGTCAAACACGTCGATGAACACGTGGCTTGCAGGGCAACGGATCGAATAATTTTTGGGCCTCTAGTATGCCTCTGGCTGCATACATTAGTTTCATGTAAGTTCCGACAGGCGCTTTGTAATAGAGCATGTTTGATGTGATTTCAGATTGTGCGACATGGTGGCAGGGTGCGCAGAATGGGAGCTTATCCAGCAAGGACGGCCCGCGGTGTGAGTGATCCAGGGAATCCATGGTAACTCTGTATGTTTTCCTTCACTTAATTGGACAAGTGTACAGATCATGGTTTAATTAACATTAAAAAGTCTCGAGTCACTAGCGCGATTCCTGTTTCCATGCTTCCAAAAGCCGGCCGGCCGGCCAAGGAGAAGCTGGAAGCTCGTGCCAAGCGTTTCGGTGTCGGTATCCAGGCCTTTCATATCCAACTGCGCTTCAACCGTCCACTCCCCCAAGAAAAACATTCGAAAAAAAGAAGAGTTCATGAGCGTTGGATGCTTCGTCACGCCTGACGGGGCCTCGACTCGTCGACAGCGACGCGGGAGGGGACCGACGCCGCAGTGAAGGCGGCGCGGGCCCAGCGCTTTGGTCCCTTGGAGAAACCGGGGGCAAAGGGTCGGGCGAAGTTCGATTGACCAGACCGTTTTCTTTGTTAGCCCCCCCCCC